CGATGTACCCCACATTGCCCTTCGCGCGATTCCGAAAGGATTGCGGACTGTGACATCAGCCTAATACTGCGAGAACTTTATCGGATGACCAACCATGAAAGTGCCTTGAACTCTTATTGTGAAGGTTTCGTGATTAATTCTATTTCTTGTTGTGTGGTATATCTTAAGGTTTTTCTTTTGCTAATAACTAATGTTCGTCCTCAGTTTTTTCTTAAAATTGCAGAGTCGTCAAGACTGTGAGGAAGCTCGATCCCGTAATAGAACACTTTCCATGGAAGTCGCGTCATTGAAAATTTCGTTGTCGGAATGCAAGGAAGAACTACGTAGAGGGATAGAAGCAGTGAAGGACCAGAAGGAAAACATGACTAAAAGGGAGATTGAGGTAGTTTGCAAGATATTCTTCGCATCTTTAAAGCTGTTATTGCCTCCATTTTCTTCTTGATGTAATAGTAGTAAAAAGTTCAACTGATGATGTTTCAGTTACGTAGAAGTTTGGAGTCGAATCTTGTCAGTCACAATTTATCGACCTCTCATAATCTTATCAACGCGTTCCAATCGTTATCTTCTCAGATAGAGACGATTCAGAAGACTAACCTATCGGTTGAGGTACATTTTTTTCAGTGCAGTCGACTTTTTTAAGTCCCATTTTTACGTCTTATCTTAGTCATCTAGTGTCCTCTCGAACAAAACTCACTTTTTTTGGCTTCCACGTCAAGCCCCATTTTTACGTCTTCTCAGAATTTGAAATCATCGTGGGGAAAACCTGGCATTCTTGATTATATTTAGTCGCTGACTGAACGGTCAGTATTTTCTTTTATATTTTCCTATTTGATCTACTTTGTAGACGACACTATCCAGCCAGCCTCTGCCAACTTTAATTGATGCTTTTCTTTTCAAAATTGAAATTTTCGAACAATCCTCGTCTACTTATGGAGTGTTACGAAGGTCAAGGAAGAGATAGCGAGGTTTCACTCATGTTGACCTGCACATCCTGTCTATCTACCGACTGTCTTCTTAACGCGACTCCTTAACGCGGCTGTTCTGCCTCTCATTGTTCCATTGGATGAACTTCTGAGGCACTTAATCCCCAGGCCTTGTTTTGACACCTGCTAGACCTCATCATACTCGAAACGCTCTCTTGAAAAGGTGATTGTGATTAAAGTCAAGTTAAGAAGTTTTGAGATTTTGCACAACTAGCACCACTGCTAATAGTAAACTGCGATCACCGATCTGTCAATATCGTAATGGAAGGAATGAAAGCCTTGTTGACTTTTGAAACATACTTGCGTTGATAAAACAAAGCGATTACGCTGGTCTATCATTGCTCCAGTAGTGGTTGGTCAGGTCACAATCAATATTGTCTCATGCGGTGTTGAGTTGCTTGCGGTGAGTTAATGGCAGTGCAACGTAACCATAGGGCAATCTTCCTTTTTTCGTGACTCCTGCTGTCACCCTCCATAATCTTTCTCCCTTTCAATGTTTTTCACTGTTTGTGTTGTTTTCGAACAACTAACCGATTATTTTAGCAAGTAGCTGACATCCAACACAAGATCGGAGAACTCACAGCTACTAATAAACATCTGGAAGAGAAGGTTATGGAATATGAGGAGAGGGAGAATACTCTAGCAAAGGTAACTATTGTTGTGAAGCTGTATCGTAGTTGTCAAATGGTATCGCCATATCTTTCGGATAAGTTGGAGTTTTACCTGTGCCGTGTCTGAGTGCAGAGGCTTTTCATAATATTTTGTTTATCTTCTCATCTTTTTCTCTTTTTAGCTTTGTACTAGAGTTTCTTCCACTGGGCTAGCATGTCCCCAGAAATCTTTTTTCTTCACATCTGTGAGGACAGTGGTAACCCAAATTTTTGTGACGGATTTGGAGAAGCCATGCATTGAGGGGACGCTCAAAACGGTATTTGAAAACCACTGATAAGTGAAACTATGTAAGACTAAGTCCAGGACAGGGGAAAACGTCAGGGTAAGTAAGATTTGCTGACATAACCCTCCTCTCTCTCCCCAGCGGTGGCGTAAGTAAGGTATGCTTCCCCGAAGGGTTAGGGGACGAAAGTTCCTTTAAATTTTCTCTGTAGTCCCAACTGGGATTGTCCTGATAAAAGGGCCTACATCTAATATATGTGTGTAGCTTAAAGTAAGCATGCATTGAAAATAAAGAAACAGTATCGTTCAAAACAAAAAATTTAAAGGGACTTTCGTCCCCGCAACCATTCGGGGAAGCATACCTTACGGCCCCCAGAAGCCCTTTCTCTGTCGAGCTTGAGTCTTTCAAGTATCTTGCAGTGGGGCTACCCATTGAAAGTCCTTCCCTCCTCTCCTCTGTAAAGTGCTATTATATTATAGAGTGGCTTTAGCTATGTATAATAAGATCATCCATTCACAGTCCGGATGCCGCTCTGTCTTATCAATTCTCTTCTCAGGAAAGCTCAGAGACTTTGACTCTCACGTCGTATGAATTGCATATGATTCTATTCAATGCGTCTCGATTTTGTTTCAGCTCAGGAAACTGAAAGTGCGCTATAGAAGTGTGTTTAATGACCTAGTGAAGCCAAAGGAATTCCCCAATGGTCTGGGGCTGGTACCCATCCCTCGTCGGGGCTTGCTGTGCCCCGTGCCCTTGGTGTTACTCAGGATCGTCAGTTATTATATGGGTCGAGCCGAGCACGCTCAGCTTTTTCCCTCTGGTCCCTGTAGGATCATGTCTTGCAGTGTGGAATGTGTAAGTTTATGGGAGCGGGTATGTAAATCATTTTTTATATCTCCCGGATGAGTTCCCGGTCCTTTCGCTCAGTTCTGCCTCGGTGAGCTCGGATTGCCCTCTCTTCCCCTAGGCTTAAGCGGGAAGATTGATGGTAGAGAATAGTCTTCATTAACTCTAGTATATCTGGATTTCATGTCAAAATATACCGCCTCTTAAGCAGCGTGCAGCGCTTCCTGCACGGAAAAACCTTTAAGACAGAGTTATAGTTGGTTCTGTTCGAGCTTTCGAGATTGTTTATAAATCTTTATTTCGACACAGTTTCGCACACTCGCCGATGTTACAGGACAGAGATTGTTGGTGTTTACTGGTCAAAGGGTACTCGGCGACTCTCTACACTCTCTACTCTTCTCTCTAACTTACAGTCTTCTTAAGTGAAGTAATCAATAAGCTGCTGAGCGTCGAAGGATAGATGGAGGTAGTACATTCTTCACCCGGACCAATGCTTCCTCAAACGATCTGCAGGAAGAGCTGAGAAGTGAAACTTTCCGATCGTATTATTTCGTATTTTCTTATTTTCTACAGAAATCAGTCGGATCGTCGGTTTGGTAGTCCTAGGTCGCATCGGACTGATTATGGGATTAAAATCACCCGCCATTTGATAAGGCCGGCCCCGTTTAGTTCTAATTTGAAACTATTCGCATCACCCTCACACTTACTATGAAGCTTATGTTTCCTTTTCACAGCTTTCTTGTTTAGCAGTTGGCCGAGGCACAAGGTAATGCTGAAGCGGCTAAAGCAGAACTAGTAGAATTGCAGAAGAAGCTTGTTGAAATCGAGGGTAGCTCATCACTAACGCATCAATACTTGTTGGAGGAGTCGAACAAGGTAATGTGTTACTTTTTTACATCTTATTATCGTGTGTGCCACGAACATGGGACTCAGTGGATGGTTGTTCTATAGTGACTCCTTGCTGTTTTTTTTTTCGAATTTTCCACCCATTTGCACTATTTTTCAGCGAGACATATAAATGTTTCAGATCAAACAGCAAAAAGCAGCGCTCAGGTGTGAATTAATAGCGCTCCGTCGAGATTATAATAAGCAGAAGGAAAAACTTGAAGAGGTAAGGAGAGCACTTGATCTCGATTTCTCACCAGTCTCCTTCATTCTATTCATTGAAGCTGGAATCGAATAAAACGGTGAAGCTGGAATCGAATAAAATGGACGGGAAAGAACTGGAGAACCTGCGAGCGGAGTTGTCTTCATCTCGGCGACGTGAGGAGCATCTTAAAAGTGAAGAGACTCGACTAAAAGACGAGCTTCAATCCGCGCAACAGAAAATAAAGGAGCTCGAAGATGCTGTGAGTTTCACACCACGTTGCACTTGAAAATGTTCCCAAAGTTTGTCTAGGTCTCAGCATGTTATAGCTAAGCTCAGCGCAACAGGAGCAAAGCGAGATATCAGTGGAGCAGAACATCAATCGCGAATTACGTGAGGAACTCAAGAAAACTGAGGCGAAGGCGATCGAACTCACTCAAATGATGGAAGACGTGGACGCACAGTGTGAACAGTTCAGGGTATGGATTTGGATTTTTGCGTGTATTCAGTGATGGTTGCATGATAAAAATGATCGCATGCCATTGTTTAGTTCCAATTTTGGGATGTGCTGAGCGTTCTACTCCTTATCTTTTTGAGTGTGATCTATGGGTTATACAGAACTGTTATACAACCGAACAAGTCC